TCGTGACGTCATCAAAAAACAGTTCCGACCCAAACAACTATCAGAACAACTCCGACCCGTTCTATTGCCAGCAGCAGCAACGACGGCGTGCGTCGCTTGTGGCGGCTGCTGCGGCCACCCCGCTGCAACAAAGTCTGGAGTCGGAAGTGAAAGAGGTGAGAACTCGGTGACTAGCATCTGTCAATATAATATAATGTTATTGCCTGCAACCAAGTTGTTGAAAATATTTTTGCTCTTTTGATATTTTGATAATTTCTTTTTCATTTTTCAAAAAATTAGTTTGCTTAAATTTTACTTTCAAAAGTGTTGGAAAATTATTACTTTTTCAAATAAGATCTATTTTGACATAAAAATATTAGTATAATTTTAATTAATTTTACTTTTAATTTTTTTAATTTATTCCGCTTTGTTTCATTTAGCATTACAAGACAATAACCGAAATAGTCAAACTTTGAAACAAACAACCACCATGATCTGTAAGGTGAAAAAAGTACTGAAGAACTTCATGGGCAAGTTGCAGGCGAGGGATGCGAAGGAGAAGAGCGCGATGGAGTGGCGTCTGGTGGCTCTCTCCATAGACAGGATGTTCTTCATGCTCTACCTCATCACCATCATCGTCTCCACCGTGACCATCTACGTCATGTGTCACGTCTACTATGAGAGCGATGAACACGGCGCATCGAAATGCATCAATGGGACTTCCTGCGTTTCTGGCGGTGATCTGGAAGGGGAAGGATTGGTTGGAGGATAAGTTTGCTAGTTGGTGATTGGTTGGTTGTTTGCTTGGTTTGCTTTGATTGGCTTCAAATAGATGGTTTTTTTGATTGGTTTAATTTGATTGGTTCCTTAATTTGTTGTTTGACTATTTAAACTGGATTGGTTGGATGAATTTTGATTAGTTATAATTTTTAAAATGTCTTCTGTTGTTTGGTTAGATGACTGATTAAATGACTTGATTGGACGGTACAGCAGATGATTGGCTGTGAAGACGTTGAGTTGAAATTTTTTTAAGATATGAAGGTTCGTTATTCAATTTGAATTGTTGAGTGATCCTATAAATTGTACATTATTTAATGAATGGTCATTGTTTGGTAAAACTTTTTGAATGAAAGTTTATTATAACAGCTAAAATGTATCCTGTTGTTGAAATGAATTTAAATTTTTATTTAAAATTAATTACACTGTTAATTTTATTTTGATTTTTATAATTTATGTTTGTCAGACGTTCATCAAACACGTAAGTCTTATTCTCTATATTCTATATAAAAAAAAGACTTCACAAGACAGTTAACGTCACTAATGTTTGACAAATAAATTCTTTCAATTAATTCTGACACGTCACATTATTTCGTTATATAATAATATATTATTTTAAACAAAGTTGAACTTGCAATAAATT